GCGCTACTGATACTGTGTAGCGGATGACGATGAGGCATACAAAATAAGACTAGGGCTAGGCCCAGGCCTAACTAGACAGTGCAATAATATGTGATAGAAAGTACACTTTCGAAAGAAATAAATTAAAATAAAAAAAAACAAACAAAAACAAATAATTAAGAATAATTCAGTTGCAGAGGTACCTTGTACGTATTATAGACCGTGGGTTGAGGATCGAAAACGTTCAATTCTGTGACCCACCAATCCGGGCTACCTGGCTTTTGCACAAAAGTGTCAATACTAATAAATTGTAACATAATTTGATTGTCGGCAATCGTGAATTTGGGGAAACTGTAACCAAAAATGAGAATTTATATCAAAAGTTGCTACGTAACTATAGCCAATCAGAAGACGACTAACAATAAAATTTGGCTTAGCTGCAAGGCCCTCAGCCAATCACAAACTACCTTCTATGCCGTTTGTCCAATGTAAATAGTAAACAACACACTCCACTTGCAAGTATGGCGTTGGACAGAAGTTCTTCAAATGATAAATCTGAGCCGGTTTCAGGCATATTTTTGTGATACATGTTGTAAGAATCTAGAGTATGGTTGTGTCATTAAGCGTAAACAGCTTAAATAAATTTAAGGATGTGCAACTCTGTGCAAAAACAACAAATACGAGTTCTCAGTAAGGCCTATTAAGTTTCTGTCGAAGCTGATGAATAGCCTACATATATAACGAAGGGGATCTCAGGGATGGTGGTGCAAGTAGTAGTAGTCAAAATTGCACCGAATCTGTTTAAAGGTACGTGTGTACCTGTGTACATATAACGTTAAAAATGGTATGGTATGTTTTACTTAATTGAGAAGCACTAAGCGTCTCTCTATCACACCACACACACAGACAGGAAGCGATGCCTTTTCCTCAAACCGGGGTACTATCGACAGCAAAATAACCACAGAGTATTGTGAATCAAATACGATGGTGTTATATTGTAATAGGCATATTGAGACAATAATGTGGGCAATGAATCGACCCAGCATAAACAACTGACCATGAAGACAAATCAAGAATAGCCATCCACAATTATATAGCAACTATTTACTACTGTCTACCAAGAACAATTACTACACAAATTGAATCAATTCAGTTTTTTGTGGCGGGGGATGTGCCCTTCAGTGACTGTGCTTAGACTAAGTAATTTAGGCTTAATTTGATTTTAATGTCTTCATGAAAAGAATATAACAAACAATATTATATTAATAGTACAGTATGCTTTATCTACATAGGAATCCTTAGACACAACATAACAAAAAATATATGTATTAATAGGTATCAAAACTGACTTAATAATATTTATCAACACTTTGATGTCCAATTAACATCACCACCTGCATTTAATATTGTATTATACTGATACTACTTATTTTTCTTTTCTTTTCTTTTTTTTTGGAAAACAACTTGTGATTAAAAAGAAACAATTTAAATACATATTTGATCATTAAAACCATCACAGTAGCATTGATAAGCTCTTTGAATTGGTTTGTTTAATTAATTTTCACAGACCACAGAATGAAGTGAATGGAAGTTGATGAACCACAGCCAAAGCAAATGCTCATTCTGCATCACCTGAAAGCTGATGTCAAGAATTAAGGAAGTGCTTTTTTGTAAAAAGTATTTTTTTGTAAAAAGACAATAATATATTAAGTACTTTTAATAGAGCAAAAACCATTGAGAAATTAGTAAGATGTGAAACATTGAGTGGTGGAATTACTTGAGGCTGCTATTGCAAATCAGGATGAAGCATTGTCATTACATGGGGGATAAGGATCTGGTGAAAACTCAGGCCATATTATAGGCCATGGATAGAAACATGAATCAATTTAAAGTACTGTAGTCCTATCAGA